ACCAAGGGACAGAAAACATTCCGTCAGTTCAGACGGGATCTTGCATGCTGGCTTGACATGCAAACGCTGGTCTGGGCCACCTCCCGGCTTCTGGCCTGCCAGTCTAGTAGCAAGTGTGAATCCTGTTGTCACTCCTGGGCAAGACTCTGCTCAGATTGCACTGAGAAAGTATCCTGGAATGCATTTGTTTGAGCGCTGCAGCAGCCACCATTTTTGCCCATCCAAGCTTCCCGTGTTTTCTTTTTCCATCCTCAGGCACCATCTCATAGCTCTGGGCATTGCTGTGGACATCGTGGGCTGTACAGGGTCAGTGGCTGAACGGGCTGCCACCCTCCACAAGGTCATCCAGCTAGCCTTGGAGCTGTGGAGGCCAGTTGGGGACCTCTTTGCCCTGTCTGCCGTGATGAAAGCTCTGCAGCTGCCCCAGGTGAGGGCTGTTGTGGGAGCGATGCCAAAGCTTAGGCTAGCCTGGTGCCCATAAGATGCATGGCACACAGAAGATGAAGAGGTGTGGTTTCAGTGCAGCTGCTGGATCAGAAGCAGCTCATTTAACAAAGCTAGCCCTGATTTCAGTTCCCATGTTGCTGTTAAAATGAGGGATGGAATGCATTTAGTCTGGTGTTTACTGCAGTGGCATGGAATCAAGGACATTGCTTTTGACCATGCTGATGGGAGTTATGAATCTATCACCCTGAAATGTAAATATTTATATCCCTTTTTCTTTTTTTGTTGTTAAAGTAGGGCTCAAGTACCTGGCCAAGCCAGTCATTCAGTTCTTCCTGAACCGCAGAGGTCTGTGCAGGCAGGTTTATTTATACTCCTCCATTTCTGTCCTGCTGTCTGCAGATCGCCCGGCTGGAGCAAACATGGAGGCATCTGCGCCAGAACTACACCCAGAGTGCCATCATTTTTGAGAAGGAGCTCAAGCCTCTCTTGGGGAATCTGAACAGGGCTGAAGGTAGGGCCTTGCAATCATTCTGACCAAATCCAAACATTACAGCTGTGTGGAACTTCTAGTGTGTGGCTCTATTTTTATGTGCAGCTCAGGAATCAGTAACCTTTTTAAGTAGCAGCACCGTTGCACCATCTTGTGCACCATGGACACAATTTTATTTATGGCTCAGATGTAGGAACTGTTGGGAGGTCAGTTTAGATTTCAGCTCTTCCATGGTGTATCACCATGCAGAAATAATTTGGGGGGCTTCCATGTAATATTGGAATCAGTCCTCTGGACTGTAAACATTTTTATGAGCTACTTAGTGAATATATTAAGTACGCATTGAACTACTTTTAAAATAGTTGTACCCCTTTTTTCATTCATTTGAAGTTGCATATGTCCATTACCATTCCAAAAAAAAATCATAACAAAGAATAATATGAACAAAGCTGTAGTTAAGGGTGTGGTGTGTTTTTTCCTCTTGGACTCTGGGTCCTGCTTTGGAAGCCTGTTTCTTAGAGAAGAATTTTTTAAATTGCTCAGTTTGATCTTTTTTAATGTGATCTTGCAGTCTTAAGAACCTCCACCAGAAATGTAAGTTTACTGCCCCATAGATAACCCTAAAATGTGATTTAGAAGAGATTAAAAATCAATTTTGTTGTGAGTTCTCTGAGTATTTTCATTGCCATTTCAAAATGGAAATTCAGGGTAACTCTAGCATATCTGGACAGTCATATACCCTTGCTCCAGGTTGCCCAGATTGGTGTTTGAAGGTAAATAATTGTGCTAGTGCTTATATTCCTTATATTCCTTTTGCTGAAATCACAAGTTGTTCCTTCTCATCAAGGTGGAGAGTATGGAATGTCATAGAATCAGAGTTGGAAGGGACTGTAGAAATCTAGCTGATCCTCAGAGTAGGATCTACTAGATTTCTCTCATAGATGACTATCTAGCTTCTGTCTGAAGACCTCTAGTGGGGGAGAACTTACCACTTCATGTGACAATTTGTTCTTCTGCCTGACAGCTGGCAGAGTCAGGATGTTCCTCCTGAGGTCTAGCCTGAACCTCCTTCCTTGCAGTTTTAATCCAACTACAGTTTGATTAGGGTGCATTCATGCAATGGACCAACACTTGAAAAGGCTGCCCATCATGAGCTGGTGGTACATGAATGCACAGCTCTGGACTGTTTTCCAAACCTTCTGACCCAAATCCAATAAGTAGCAAGAAATTGGTGGGGACTGCAGCATGCAGACTTTCCTGTAGGGTATTGGCTTCTAAACAAATATAGGGGCAACCTTTGGAAAAGGAAGAGTCATTTTCATCCAAAATATATCTTATAGTGAATTAAATCATGCTCTTCCTCAGCCTACAGGCTTTCCCCTGAAATGTTTACAGGTAGTCCTCATTTAGCGACTACAGTTGGGACTGGCAACTCAGTCTTTATGCAAAGTGGTTGCTAAGTGAAACTGTGACTATACTTATCTTACTTCAGCTTTCCTTTGCTTTACAAACCTGCGGAGGTCATAAATGCGAGGACTGGCCGCAAAGTTACTTCATCAGTGTTGTAACTGAATGGTTGCTAAACAAGGACTACCTGTAATTCCACTTAATCAGTTGAACTGTGATCTAAAAGGCTATTGTCTCTGGCCCACAGGGAATTCTGTCTTCTCCCCAAAGGAGATAGCAGTTCCTCACATCCTGCCACTTCTCAGTCTCATGGAAGGAGAACAACTATGGGATGACAATGAGGAGACATGTGAGGTCCTCCTGCGGACGCTGGAAGCAGGTCGCTTCGTTGCCACCAACACTGGTGCTTATCGCATCAGTGCTGAGGCCAGACTCCAAGGTAGGGTGGTTCTTGGCAGTGCTGGCTGGTCCTCCCCTGTGTACCTTGGTTAGCTCAGTTCAGTGTGGCTGGTGAGCACCCGTTCCCTCCTTCTCAATCACCCTCTTATATGGAATAGATACGCATGAATGCCAGCACAGAAGAAAGCCGGCAGAGAGCCAGCATGGTGGACTGCACTGGAAATACCCAGGCTCTAGGCCACTCTCAGCTATAGCAGTTCACTGAGCAACTTTGGGCCACTCTCAGCCCAGTCTACCTTGCAAGGTGGTTGTATGCTCCCTTGAGCTCCTGAATAAAAGTTGGGATAAGCTTCTAACAAATGAACAGATCCACCCATCTGAATGTTGTAGCTATTCTTGTGATGGAAATATGACCCAGCAATGGGTTTATTAACAGCTAGTCTTGGCTAACCTGTGCAACACACCAGCCCTAAAAGGAGCAGTGGTTTTAGCCAGGCATGACTTATACCAGCTGGGGTTCTTCTGCTCTTGCTTTTGCTCTCTGAGCCACTGGGTCTGTCTGTTCGGATTCTGTCCTGATCCTTCCACACTGGGTGGAGGTGGTGATTAGCCAGCGGACGGGTGCCTCAGGCTGAGTTTTGCCCCACAGAACTCTGGCTGGGACCAAGTGTACAATATCGAATGGAACCGCTTTAAGCACACTCTCTCTGCCCTTTCCCAGCTCTGTTGCTGGAGTTGCAAATTTCCCTGCAGTTTAAAAGAAAGCGAAACGCCCCACATGCTGTATGTAGTGTTAATAATTTATTAGAGGTGTGCAGCAGTCAGATCCAAACTGGGCATTCTTGCTGTACCTGTTGGCTGCTCTGTAAAGGAGCTGCGCCATTTCCTGGGTTTGCAAAGTAGTGGCGTGGCTCAGGAAAATGCCTGATTGGGTTCAGGAGGTATGACAGGATATGACTCTGCGTCACCACCTCTTTAACTTGGACATGTATTTTCCTGAGCCTGTACAGCTGCAGTACAAGTGCCAAAAAAGGTGTGGCTCCTTAAAGCTGCTGCTGACAGGTGTGGCAAGGGTGCTCACATCAGACATGAAGCACCTTTGCTCACTTCAGATCTGAATACTGCACACCTTTCTAAGTCGCCTTTCAGACTTTGCTAAACAGAGCTATGGTTCAAGCCAAGGCTTGCTTAAAGTTTATCTTTGTGCCAATTTAAAACAGTGTTGGTACATTCATAAATAACACTGGAACTCTTGACATGTTTTATCTTAAATGCTCCTATGGGAACAGACCACTCTGGCAGTCCCATGACATAGCAAGCCATAAACTATGTTTTATAGCTTGACCAGATGTAAACTTTAAAAAAGCCGAAATCTTAAATGAGAACATAGATCCTTCAACACTTGGTTAGAATCTCATGAGAGAGCTGATTTCAATTTTGTAGTTGTATTATTATTAAAAATGGGCCATCTGGTGGGAACTACATTCCCAGTCTCTGAATTAAGCAAAATCACCTTATAGCTTAACACAGTGTTTAAACCCAGCCTCGAAGTGGCCATTCTATTATTTCAGGGTAAGGATGTCATACCCACATTGGTTATACTAATCCTTTGTTTTTTGTTTTGGCCTTCTCTTACAGAGGCCTGGAGTTCAGTCTTCTTCTGAATCTGATATGTGTGGCTGTAGCAGCTCCTTTCACTTCCCACTGGTAGGGTGATACCTCATAAGAGGATAGTTAGCCGATACTAGGACAGGCACTGTCTGTGTAGGACTGGCTGATGCCACTGACGTTACAGAATTCATCTCATGTTTCCTTTTTACATTCTCTTCTCCACCAGGGTTCCAAGGCACTCCAGAACTCCTGGAAGTGTTCCAGACGGAGTTCTCCCTTCGGTTATTCTGGGGCAGTAAAGGAGCAGAGGCGGAACAGAGTGAACGATACAAGAAATTTGAACGGATCTTGACTGTGCTTTCTCAGAAACTAGAGTGAATTCATGGGAGAAGAATTTTCTCCCTCTGCCAGGCCAGCTGGAATGCAAGGCAGGAGTGGCAAAGATGATTTCTAAGCAGTAAAGAGAAGGGTCACCCACTGCCAGGATTAGATGCTCACTGAGCTGAAATCTGAAGGCCTTCCATGGAATGAATGAGCAGGAACTCATCTGTGGTAGACATTCCTTCTAGATCAACAGCGCCAGGGCTACTGAAAGAAACCATCTGGAAACTTTTAACCTATGCAAAGGAGCCAGTCTGCAATAAGGAAAGCGGTGGATGAGTTTTAATCATTACATGCTATGAAAATAACTTTGCTCTCTGCCTATTCTTATCCTGATTAGAAGTTTCACAGCATTGGTTTACAGACCCCAAATCCAGAGTAACAGCTTCCAAGATTGTTAACTGCACCCGAAAGTTTCAATGCATTCATATCCAAATTAGCAGAGCCCAAGTTCATCTTTTGAAACAAGAAAGCAACCTTTCTCAGTTGGAACACTTTTCCTGTTTCTGTAGTTATGTTTCCATTATACAGAACTGAATTCTGCAGTTAATGCTGCTTCCCTTTTCAAAGTATGATTCTTGTATTAAATGGAAAGAAACTTGCATATATCTTTCCAGAACCTTTTTCTTCAAGTTAAGCCGTACTTGAGAAAAGTTTTATTGACAGAGGTTGTCTTAAGAAGGACTTTCTCCCTTACTTATACAAGACCTTGAGAGAAGCTCAAGCAGGGAGAAAGCTTGTATGTATCCCTTTTGACAATACCAGTACAGGTAGATACAAGTTTTCTCCCAGCACCCAAAACCAGTCACTGAAGAGTCAGGCAGGACAGAGGAAAGACTTCAAACAGGACTCACAGCGGAATCCTGCTTTCTCGCGTGATCTAGAGACGGCCACCAACTTGGACAACTTTAATGAAGAATCAGACTACTTCAGAGAATATGTTACCAGTGGCTAACAGCATCATATCTTTCTCTGCTGAGGAACATGAGCATAAAAGTACTGCTGCTGTTGTGGATCATCTACTTGGCCACAATGGGAAGAGAATATGAGGTTAGATGAGTCTTTGGTCTGATGCAGTGCAGTTCTTAGGTTTTTATTTGACCAGCAGAAGCTAGCAGCTACTTCCATAGCAAGGTGTTTCCCCAAGGGGGACAGTTGTCAGGCCTCTCCAGATTTACGAACAAGAAGTCTGCACAGAAGCACTGCCTGGGTCAGCACGAGTGGAGGTGAGGGGAATGTCCCCTCAACTAATCTACCAATAGTGCCAGTCCAGTGTCAGACAACAAACCTGCTTTCTCCTCCCTCTCCCACACTCTTCCCCCTAGTCATGCTGCTCCACGGACAAGCAGAAGCAAGCAGGAACTGAAGGATGCCTTGGCTTCCTATGGCGTTTGCCTCTTGTCTTCTCCGCCAGCTCTCCCTTGCGGAGTGGTGAACTCTGCACAGCAGGAAAGGCAGAGGATAGTCCTTTCGCTCCCAAGCAATGACACAAATGCGGCAGACCTTAGAAGTCCACGCTTGGAGGCCAGAGGAACAAAAAGGCAACTGCACAGGCATCCACCAGTTAATTTTCCCCCTACTATTTACATAAAGTGTAAAAAGGCACCCAGAAATACATTCTGCATCTCAAGAGAGAAGGGAGGGGCAGGTTTCGGCCCCTCCCTTCCAAGGCTGGAGGGAGAAGAGCTGAGGCTACATTACAGAGTATGTGAACACGTTAAACTGAGTGGTAAATTAAATTGGTCACTGTATAAAACAACTAGCAATACATTAGAGTCATCTTTAAAAAAAACAAACACAGAGACATGAGAGGAAGAGGCCAGAGCCACCTGCTTTTGCTGTCATGTAATATATTCCCCGAGGGGGAAACAAACCCGAATGCTCTGGCAGAGGCACTTTAGAGTGGCTGAATGAACCAGGCCAATCGAATCCAAGAAAACTATAAAGTGCATTTCAAGGAGAGACTCTACAGAGGTTGGTCTGGTGCCAGCGTGGCCTTTGGCCAGCCCTCGGACAAGGTGGCTTTGGTGACACTTGCATCTAATTGAAGGAGCACTGGGAGTGGACAGGTGTGCTCAGCAACCGTCCTCCCCTCTCTCTCTGCTTCTAGTCGAACACAGGCATAGCAGCAGTCTGAAGGATACACGTTCCAGGCTTCTAACCCAGCCCGGTCTCCTCCTCAAATATGGCGCACCCACAACCCCCTCGAGGTCTGGACGCAGCCTACTGAACGCAGCATAAAAGCAGAAACTTTGCTCTGGCTCTGACCAACCTGGCGAAAAGCAGGAGGGGCAGCCGGCTCTGCCCTTAAAGAGGAACCGCACCCTTTCTGCTCCCGCAGCCAGGAAAGGTCAAAGCATGCGTACACCCATGCATTTCGTGGCGGGGCAACTACCACAGTCCAGAGCCATGAATCTTCCTGTATGTGAAATTGCGTGTGTTTGGCTGCTCCGGCTGGAGGGCATTTCATAAGGAGTATTTTGTAACTCTGACATGAAGACAACGGGGGAAAGGAGGAGCAATTACTAGCTGGAAGTCAACCCCCCTCTTGGCTCTTATCCAAGACCTTACTTTCAGCAGGCTACAGCCATCGTTTTGTTATTCTGCTGGTCAGTCCTTGTCTCGCAGTCCTGCAGTAGTGATTTGGTGCAAATTCCTTCTTTTACGGTCTCACTCAGAGCAAGCATCCTGGAGCTGTTTCCAGGCAACTGAAACTCCGCCCCTCTTCCATTCAGACCGTGATGTTGGTGCAGCTCTTGGCTATCAGTACCCCCCTCAGTTTACATTCAGTCGCAAATAGGAGGTAGGGACGTAACCCTCACCTCCTTTGCTACGCCGTACACGTGTCCACCCGTCACCTTTGTCTTCCTCCATCAAGCTGAGCTCTTCCCCTTCCTGCATGGAGATGGTGCCCTCACTAGAACCTTTGGGAAGCAAACAAATCAACAAGGGTATCAATCAGCTGAAGCCAAGAATAACCGGAAGGCAAAACTGTTCAAGCCTCACGGTGTGCAGCAGCTGCAGCAGCCAGGGCAGAATTGGGTGGGTGGATGGGTGGGGGACACGAGTGCCAAGGCATTAAAGCAGGATGTGAGCCAGACCAAGGTACACAGTCCTTTGTAGAGTAAGCCAGGCTTTTTGTCTAATTCAAAATTTGACGCATTGATATTTTTCACTCAAAACAGTCAAATGTAACTTTACACTTGCCTTTGTGGCCTTGCTGCTGTCACCATTATGGCCCACGAATGGAACAAAAAAGACATCTTAGTGCAGCATTTCGCAGCCTCAACAACTTTAAGCTAAAGTCCACACCTCTTAAAGTTGCTGAGGTTGAGAAACACTGCCTTAGTGGCTACTCCCTCTGCAGCATTGTTCTTCAGGCTAGGAGAAAGCAGTTGCTCTTTGGAGAAAAATTATTATTGACATGCTGAAGGCATGCCATAGTGCAAGCAAAACAAAAACCCCACATCTAAATGAGCCTTCTGAGGATCCTAGCTTTTGTTATTACATATTTTGAAAAGCAGGTTCCTGATCCTTTGTGGTAAAAACAGTGCAATTAAAAAACAGTCTGGGCAACGCCTAGTGAATGGCTTTGGAGTATTTCATGCTGAAGCTTAGGCAATCCAGTCATGATCTCTCTTCTGAATAGCAGCCTGCTTACAGTTAACTCCCATAAAAGTGAGATACATACATGGCTAAGAATGTTACCCAGAATGGTTACCTTACAGCTCAAGTGAAAGGTTGGGTTTTAGAAACCCAAATATCTTTTCTTTTTAAAAAGCAAAATGTAAAATAACATTTCTGCCCAGAGTCCATTGGATCTATTGATCTAACTGATCAATTAATTGATTTAATTAATGCTGAGTTATTTTGTACAAGTTGTTGAATTTGCAGATTTTTCATCTCCTCTTAGTACAGAACCAATTGTGTGTGTGGGTGCAAGATTAAAAAAATAACGCTAGGAAAGGCAGAAAAAGGAGCAAAAGCCAAAAAGTGACAGATCTAATCTCCTTTCCCAACACAAGTAAAATCATACAAATGAAAAAAAAAATGCACCCCACTCTACCGCGTGTATTTCACAGGCAGTTCTCAAAGCTAGCAGAATAAAAATGGTACATGTTTGCTCCTAGTCTCAGCTATTCCATGAGAACACAGCCACTGGAGAAGCTTGCCAAGGTGTTACCTTCAAACTGATACATGGCCACACAGGTCCCGATAGGTGATGCCAACTCCTCTTCAAAATCCTCATCAAACTCTGTGTAAATGGGTTGGTTGAGTGTGTTCTGGCTCTCGTTAGAATGAGTAGTGTCAGGGCTAGAAGGAGAAAAGTGAGTACTGGGTATTTATGCTGCATTGCAAGTTGGGAGGAATATGGGCAACAGCTAATCTTGCCAACATAGTGAAGGCAAAAGGTTATTTCTCTGAAAAAAAACTTCATCTGGCCTCCCTGGTGGGATTATTAATCTCTCATCTTCTCTTGATGCCACTAGTGAGTAGATGCATTCTAGGGAGCATTAAAGGGACAAGCCAACTTGAGTTCAGAACAGGAGGCAATGTTTTATCATAAGCTGTCTCTTGGGAATGGATGTGACACGGGTTTTTTATATGCAAGCTCGTCAGAGATGTTTTACATTACAGATAGTCCTCATTTAGTGACTGCCTCAGACAGCAGCTGTTTCCTGTTACAAGAGTGATGAAAGAGTAACTTTGTGAGCAATGCCCACATTTGCAATTTTCACAGTCTCTCTCTCAGTCACGTTTGCCATTACAAGTCAGTACCCCTTGTCCTGTGCCTGAGCCATTTTTTCTCCCCCCACCTCGCAGAGTGGAGAGATTACCTAAGCTATCTCTTCCCCAGCTGCTTTTCTCCCCAGTGCAGTGCCTCCCTAAAAAATGCTAACTGCAGGTTAACAAGCTGAGCTCTGTGACCTTAATTAGTTGATTAGAATCTTCCAGCTGGCAGACACTGCCTGAAATTGACAAGACCTTAATCAGTTTCATACTACAGGTAGTCCTCCACTTACAACTGCAATTGGGACAGGGATTGCTGTGGCTAAGCAATGTGGTTGGAAAGTGAGACATCATGTGACTGCATCACTTAGTGATGGCAATCCAGGCAGTCCCGGTTGTGTCATAACTGAAGACAGACAAGTCATTAAGTGAGAATCAGGAGTCCCAGGCAAGGAGCACGGGGCTGCACAGGGCGGTGGGGGAGGCCCTGGAAGACCTGGAATAGGCCATGTGCGAGTCAGGGGAGGTGCTCTGTGCAGTGCAAGCTCAGAAAGGCCAGGGAATGAGGGCGCTGAGTGCATATGTGTGAGCAGAGGGTGCAGAGCGCATGTGATTGCAGAGAGGCCATGAAAAGAGGATGCGGGGTACGTGTGTGCGATCACAGGAAGGCCAGGGAAAGAAGACGCAAGGTGTGCGTGTGTATGCAAGCGCAGGGAGGCTGGGGAAAGAGGGTGTGGGGTGTGTGTGAATGAAGGGAAGGACAGCGTAGCGCATGCAAGTGAAGAAAGGCTGGGGAGGGAGACTTACCCCAGTGACTTGCAACCTTCCTTGCTGGCTTCCCATTGACTTTGGGGGAAGCCGGCAGAGAAGGGCACAAATGGCAATCACATGACTGCAGGACACTGCAACTGGTTGTAAGTATTAGCTGGTTGCCAGGCACCCAAATTTTGTTCACGTAACCGTGGGGGTGCTGCAACGGCCGGAACTTCAAGGACTGGTTGTAAGTCCCTTTGTTCAGCACCATCATAACTCTGAATGGTTGCTGAACGAATGGTTGTAACTCGAAAACTACCTGTAAAGGCTTTTGTTTGCCTCCTTAGTGGCTTGTGGCAGCCACTAGTGTGCTAGGCAAGCAGCCAGCACTTGTGCATTCCTTTTCATGTGTATTCCCCACTGTGAGCCTGCTTACTCTCTTGTAGTCATTTCCTCTCCAATGAATGTAAAAATAAACATTAATTTTCTTCTTGCCTATCATCCCAGTGTCGGGGTGAGCATTCCCAAGGTCAGGAGAGTGAGGAAAAAGGGCTATAAGATTTGCCCTTTTACCCAGCTTCCTTGTGAGTCGAGTTCTGGAAACCTTCCCTGCCATTTGGGCTCAGCTGTTTGGGGTCATATCTTTTTGACGCTGTAAAGCAAAGGAAAGCTGAAGTAAAATTATAAGCATAGTCACAGTCACATGGTTTCACTTAGTGACCGCTTCACTTAATGACCAAGTTGCCAGTCCCAATTGTGGTTGCTAAATGAGGACTATCTGTACATATTTATAAATTAAAGTTTTGTCAGGGAAAAAAAACTCTGCATCCAGCTTTTTGTGGAAAGAAAAAAAAGTGTCCTCAAGCCTGGGATGGACAAGATGAGGCTTTTCCCTTCACCTCCAACTTATTTCAGTGAACACAGGATTGCTCAAGAGGAGGAGCATCTGGCTTGGTCCTGAGGAAAGACCTAGGAATCCCGCAGGCCAAGGCAACTGGTGGACCACATCCCCGAGGAATAACTGCAGCCAGAACGCCAGTGCAAGTGGCTCATTCGCCTCTTAGGAAGGCAGACGTCCAGATCCTCCAAGGTCTCTAACACCTGGTTGCTCTCACCTGTCTTTTTCATGCGAGCAGTTGTTGTTGTTCAGGGCACTGGCAGAATCGAAGTGGCGGTTGTAGCGGGTAACTGAGTCAGGGCGGTTGCTCAGCATCCTGCTCTCAGCATCTGCCAGCCAAGCCTATGGAAAAGCCAAAAGATGGGCATGGATTATGGCTTCCCTGCAGAGGATTCGCCTCCTGGGCTCTTCGTAAGCAACCAGGCCTTGACTCCATAAACATGCTCTGCTCATGTAACTCCAGAAAGCAGGACGTTGGCTAATAGATTGACAAGCGTGCTACACGATGCTCTAAAGAAGGCATACAGACTCTCCCCTTGTTTACACCATCCTTGTTCTGAGCAGGCTTGGCCCAGCGCCATCCAGGACAACATGGGGTTATGGACAGCACTCAGGAGGGAAAACCGGAAAGGGCACCAAATGCCTCATGGTCATCGCTGAGCACAGCCTACCGGAAAATACCTTGGTGCAAGTCCCCTGCAAAGAAATTGCAGAGTCCTTGGCCTTTGAGAAGCTTTAGTTGCCGTCCTAGGCAGGTACATGGAGTCATTGTGAGCTGAGACGTCCAGAGCTGAAATCCAGCACTGGCTCCCGATAACTGGCAAACCCCAAACAAGCAGAGAAATCATTGTACATCTGACTTACTGAGAGGTCCCTCTGACTGCCCAGAGTGAGAAAGGTGCCACTGCAGTAGCTATGGGTCCTTAATGAGTGCTTGACCCCACTCTCCTCTGGAACCAGCCTGGTTCAAAATCTCCTATTAACTTTGATTCACCAGGCCAGTCAAACCTCTGTTTCTACCACCTTTTGCTCAATCTATGATTCGGTGTTAACACTACTGTCCTATTCAACAAGGTTATTTGTAATGCGGCAGCAGCTGCCAGGAGCACATGCAACCTTCCAAAGTCTTGGCAATGCTCTCAGAAACCCTCTAAAAGTTGCCCTTGAATTGTATTTTCAAAGTTAGTGAAGTGAAAAATTACTTTGAACGTAATCAGAGGTGCCCCCATCCCCCCACAATCTTTCGACTCCTTACTTCACATTTCTGGATCTCTACACGCAACCTCTCAATATTGCCCAGGGTCTCTGAGATCTTTGGCTCCAGGCTATTGGGATCTCCCATCTGTGGGGTCTTTTGGTAAACGTCCTTCATCTTATTTAAGGCTTCCCTGAAACAAGAAAGCAAGCAAAAAATGGTTCCTGACACAAGGTACTGCAATGTAGACAGCAAAAGGAAAGGCAACCGAAACCCAGGCTATTTGGAACAGAGTGAGTCCTCACTAATAAGATCAAACTGTTAATGAAATATTGCTGATTGCCTTATGGCCCAACATTCAGATATGGTCTATTCAACCCACTCCCCCAAAGCCAGAAGATTGTTTTTTCCCTATAAAGGTAGCTGACTCTTTCTACCATCCAAGAATTTTTTTATACTTTAAAGATATTGATCATGCCAGGTTTTGTGAACTCAAGTACATTTCTTCAGTTTCATTATGAGTTATCCCAAATTTTAAAAGCTTGGGAAACTTAAATGGTGACAATTACAGCAAGCACTGTATGTGTGAAAATAATTACAGTGACAATCAGCAGCACTATTTTATGAACTAACACAAACATCCTAGCATTGGTAAACTAATTACTGACAACTATAGTGGGATAAAAGTGCCCTTGAAAACTCAAGCTACAGCTGGAAGAGTGGCTTGCTTGCTGATCAGTGTTGACCAGCTTAGCAGAACAGCCTCTGCTCTCTGGGATCTGCACTGGTTGCCAGGAGGTGTTCAGCCCTAATTCAAGATGCTGGTGCTCACCTATGAAGCCTTTCTCGGTTGACTCCTTCTTATCTGTGGGATCTACAGTGAGAATCTGCCTGACCTACATGGTCTAACAGGGAGAGGATGCTCCGAGTACCCACCCTGAAAAAAGTCTGGGGGGCTGGGACTTGGATATGGAGTTTCTCAGTAATAGCCCTCTTCTTCTGGACAGCTTGACCCCTATCCTGAGGATGCTTTGGAAGATAGCGTCCTCTAAGACGGAATTCAAACTCATTTGATTGCAACAATGGATTTATTTATCATTTTAAGTAGTCATTATTTATTGGTTTTATTGATGAATGCTATGATTTTAAGCAGTGTATAAATTTTGGAAAATAAATTACATAAAAGAAAAACCCTGATAATGGTTGTAATAGGACAACAATATATTAATCAGCTTACAAACGCTAAAAAGGCAATTAAGCATAAAAACAGGGCAGAGGTCCAATGCAACACCAGGTCTGGAAGCTCCCCAATACACACTGCCCTAGATTAACAGCGCAGATGGATTTCTGAAAAGTATGACGTTAAACATCTACTCTTTGCTACTTCTCTTTCCCCAAGCAGAATGGGCAGCAAATGGAGTGTGTGTGTGTGTGTGTCTGTGTGTAAAGAGGGGAATGTCTGGTCTGCTCCTGCTGGCTTTGCTGGTAATACCCTCTTCTTACTCCTAACAGGTGGGAGGAAGGCATTTGGCCTGGCCAGCTGGGCAGTGATGGCTTAGGTAGACATTGACTGGGCATCACCCAAATGGGTGACAGCCACAGGATTAGGATAGCCATTAAAACTTCCAAGAAAGTTGGTCAGTGATCCTAAGAAAGGAGAACACCACCAAAACAAGGGAATGATGAAGTGATTTTTTTAAAAGCTCAACAATTCCTCAGTGTTAAGGATGAAACTGGTCGTACACTGCCTCCTGGTGGTCACGTCATGTAAGGAATAATGTCTGACAGGGACTCAACCTCACCCAGTCTCCACAACAACACTTAACATACTAACAAGAATACTTATATTCTTTTTTGGCACCGACTAGAGCTTCCTGTTACCTTGCAAAATTCTGAAGTGTATCCTTTCCTTTCTGGCTAATGTCTATATGACAGGGACCCAGGATGCAGAATGCAATGAAGGTCATCCTTTCTAGTCATTGTTTTTTTTTTCACCCAACAAAGTCTATTGTTGGAGAAGTTGATTAAGCAGTGCTATTTGCAGCAAATATTACCTGTGGGATTCTGAACCAAATGCTGTACTGCACCTCTCCCCTGACATTCACTTTTAAGGAAACAGCACACTTTTCTCGGACGCATACAATTTTGTTTCTTTCCTCTGCCCCTAACCCCAGACACTCTCAGTTTTCTCTCAAACAGGCACATCTAACCCTATTGCCCTCCCCACCCACCTCCATCACATGGGATTTTTGGTTTTTACTAGGGCTTAGTAGCAAAAATCCAGACAAGTTAAAGATTTTGGTATCTCCTTGCTACCATCTCAGGGTCATCTGGACTGAACCCCAGATCTTAGCCTAGCCTCCAGGACTCATCCAAAGGCATTGGGAGAAGAGATGCTCCCAGCCCTGGGTTGCAGAGGGCACCCTCAGGGAGGCAGGCAGGCAGAAGCAGAGTGCACCTCCTCTGCATCCCACAGTGAGGACTGACTGTCGGAGCAGAGTGGCTTTCAGACGCTGCAGCAGCCACTGTCATTGTCACTCAGCTGCCCTCCTCCTCCACTGCCTGTTTGGCCTCACCTCTGGAGGCAGGAGCATTTGCTGTTGCTAGCTCAGCCACAAATGGGGCAGATGCAGTACAGGAGACTGGCAGAGTTCTAGCAGGCAAGAGATGGTTGGGCAGTGGGCAGAGTGCAGGCACGGGAAGGGAGGGGCGTGGCAAGAGTGGCGGGGGTCCTTTGCTGGGGCTCAAAGCAGCTGCATATGCTTTGCAATCCCTTAAACTGGCCCTGCCCAAAAGCAAAATAATAATACAAATGCGTGCACAACTTCCACATCACTGATTCCTGCTTTATGTTAGGCAAGCTTAACTGCTATAAAACCCTTCAGTGTTAAGCAAGCTGCAAAGTCTTCAACTTAGAAAGGACCGAAGAGATCCTTCTTTCCTCCACTGAAGGCTGGACAGTTAAAACATGATTGTCAGGGATATTCAAACCAATACAATCATGGAGTTTGAAATACCCAAATTTCTGAAATCTATTACTTGGGAAAAGTTAATTTCCTCTCTCTCTGGTCTGCCTAGATCACATGAAGCACAATGAATAAGAGTGCTTCTGACTCTAACCTCTGATCCAGCTCTTTCTGCAACTCCCGGTTTCTTTCTTCAATCTTCTGTTGTAATTTTTTTCTCCTCTGCTCTGGAGGCAGATGGCTAAAGTCTTCTGTGACCACAGTCTGGCAGTAGGAAAAGACACATATCATTTTTTTCCCCCAGATGCTTCTCCTCTGTCCCACAAAGCCAACTTTTCCTCCATAGACTGTATCTGATCAGCCTGTCTAAGTGAGCTAGTTAAGACACACCATTTTTCACCGCCCAAAGCCAAGACAGGCTGTAGGCAGTGATTCCCTGTGGCCCCAGAATCCTGTTGTACCACATTGTGGCTGTTGTACCTACTTAGCTCTGATTATAGGGCAGGTCAACTGGAAACAATCTACAAATAAACAATGCTTTTAAACCTTGAACAACCTCCTTTCCCATAATGTTTTGGGGTTTCAACTTCCAGAATTTCAAAGGCTAGGGATTCTGGGAGCTGAAATTCTGACACAACAGCGGCAGAAAGTTACTATAAAGCTATTTGTGGATTTATTTCAGTGATACATATAATAACCCGTGGATTATCATATTTATTTCTCCAGAGGAATTAAGAGTAGCTGGGAGATCTATGTCGAGGACAGGTGATCCATTAGCAAAGTAATGAGGCTATAATGATTGAGTTCATACATCACAGTACACCAAAACTAAACAAGCTACATTATGGGTTAGTACAATGAATGAACCCAGCCTCATGTGGTGTGTGAACCAAGGATGATGTCAGAGCATTGTGACTTATTCATTAAATTCTTGCTTAGTGCTATTTATTTAATTAAATTATTTATACCACTGTCTATCAAGGACTTTTTACAAGAGCAATGAAGTTAAATCAAGAGTTAAACATCAAATTAAACCCAAGAACATTGAAAGTGAATTAAAATCTCCCAAACAATTAAAAGCCTGTTGAAAAAGCTGCAATTTTAAGGTACTTTCAAAAGCCAACAAACATTTAGATTCTTCAGCTCAGCAGGTCACACCTTCAAGGGACCTGGAGCAGCTACAGAGATGACCCATGATCATCAGTGAGAGCTTGGGGCAAGGGGAGGAACCACTGGGAAAATGTTATTTCAAGCAACCTGGAACAATGCTGTACAAGACTCTAAACTAAAAATTAATGTGCAGTCTTAGCCAGTAATTGCTTAGGAGCTGACTGATTCTTAGCTGGATGTGCTGCAGCCATTCAACATTGGAAATGTAGCCACCTCATCTGAACCATATTTGTCACAAAGATGTGAATGATCACCAGATATGGAGACATTTCGCTATACACTGAGGCTGACTAGACTCCAGGGTCTTTGGGTCTTTTTCAATATCATGTTCCTTAACACTTCCCTAAGGAATCACTATACTGATACCTTGACTGATCATAATGGTTGCTGTTGAAAGATCATCTATTTCAAGCTAGTTTGGCAATATTAAGGCAGAAGACTTTTGCCTTCCTCCTGTTGAAACTGTGACTTTGCTTACTTGCATAAATCTTCTCAAACTCCTCACCCCACAACCAGTTTATTTGCTCTTCTGCTTTTATGGCACCCATGTCTCTCTTGAGACAGAGACACAGACTGGAAGGTTGTATTCCCATTCTTCCCAGTACAAAATGTGTGAATGAGATGCCAAATAAAAGCACTGTCACTGAGAATGAACCCACAGTTCCCTGAGAAATGGAGCAACTAAGCCATCAACTTCCTGCAGTTATACCACGAACTGGTTTGGACATGGACGGTTGGAAGAGTAGCATTAAAATACTATCCATGAATAACTCCAAGCATGACAGGTGTGTGAAATTACAGGAATGCAATCAATCAATCAATGCTCCATCTCTGTCTACATAAGCACTCAAGGCAGATTACAGCAATAAAATGAAGTATAAAACACAACAGTAGTATCACTATAATTAAAATCAAAATCAATAAAAGTCTTGCTTACTGAGGTAGGGACTATTCTAGTTTGTGTAAAGAAAAAAAAGGAAGGGAAGCAAAACAGATAATCCAATTCTCAAGCAGAGACTTTCCTAAGGGGTCATTTGACCATCCTCTGTACTCAATGGACGCTCCACACTCTCCTAGCATGGCCGCTGTACAGCATTCATGGTCAGGTCAAGAGGAGGAAGAGGAGCAGTACCTACAGTAAGGTTCAGGAAATGGGTGCAAAAAAGTGCAATCAAAACGACAGGTAGCTACAGCATCTGGGTTTTTTTTTAGACTGGAGCAAAGGGGGGGAGGTGGCGATATCAGAGAGAGATAAAAAACATGCATGGTGTGGAAAATGTGGATAGTAGTTTTTCTCTTTGATTTTTACAAAGTTGGAACTGGAGGTTATCTGCTAAAATAAAATGTTGGGAGATTCAGAAGTGATCAGAGGGAGGACTTTTTTTTACACAACACAGTTAAACTGAAGAATATGAGGAATATCAAACACGGCAATGGCTGCCAACGTAGACATTTTAAAAAGGGGATAAGACAAATTCATATGGGATTGGACTATCACTGACTATTAACCTTGAGGCTGTTTACTACCTCCAGAATCCCATGCCTTGAATATCAGCTGCTGGGGAACGACGGTAGTAAATAGCCTTCCTTTAAATACCCCTGATTTCCTCACTGCTCCTGACAGTGATTATGGGGCAAGAAGGTTAGATAATGAGGCCCTGGCTAGATCCAGCAGAGCTCTTAGGCACTCTTTCTCTTGCTTTGTCATTCGTTCATAACTTCTAAACTTGAAGTAAAGAAGGCAATTGGACAAAGCCTTGGTTTAGTTCTGCCCTACCAATGTAAAACTAACCAACAGTGAAACTGAATGGATTGTCCCACTAGAAATGTCTCTTTTCCATGTTCACTGAACTGAGTAATTACTGCTTCAAAGGAAACAGAGGAAGGCTGTGACCTAGGGTGTGCCTGTGTTTTAATCTTATCAGCACATAAACCACAACTGATTTTCTACTTGGCAGGTGCCTTTGGTGGTAGTGGCGGCGGCAGCAGCAGCAGACATATGACAGTGATTTAGCAAACAAAGTTATCCACTTACCCCCCGTTTGAGGCTGCGGAAGGACGTGATGCGGGGTTTGACTGTCTTATTGATCTCGTTCAAACAGTAAGACAGAGGGTCACGGGTGAATTTGGGGGATGGAGGTCCATTGATGGCAGAGGAGTAGGGGGAAGCTGAGGAGGAAGGGCAATTTATAGGGGAGTGGGGAGGGGTTGGGAGCTAGCGACAGATAAGGGCCATGAACAAGAAACAAAGAAAAAAACACACAAAAGGATGGGAAAAATATGTCGTAAGAAAATAAAAAGGCACACATACAAAAAATTCCCCCAAACACAACAGAAAAACTACAGTACATTCCACCTATATTGTATATATGCTTTTAATGGAAAGGAATACGTTGGGCAACAGTTGAGAGGGGTTGGTAACCATTTGCTTTCAGCATAAACAGCTGTTCAGTGCTTACACTGGCTACCACATTCACCAGACCAGGCAACAACTATAAATCCAGGAGGTCCAATATAACAGGAATGCACTGTAACAAAACCCGAGAATACACGGGGAAGAGACAACGGCACACAAGGCACAGAAACACTTGACCACCAGGGAGCAAATGAAAAAGGATGAGGAGCGGTGGCAAGATGCAGAGTTGACTTGGCATTGGCATATCTTCTCCTCCATCCCTAGTCTGGCGCTCAGGTTTTGTTATTTTGGGGGCTGCACTGGCCTTAAACTTAAAGGTTGTTATCTGAAGAGAAGAGGTTCAATGTTAGTAGCCAAAGATGGAGAGAAGCCTTGGAGGAGAGCCAGAGGCTAGGGCTGCGCAGCACTTCAGAGCACATGTCTAACGCTCTGCACTCCTTCAATGGCTTGGGTCTTTCCTTGGGATTGTACTGCTGTTGCTCAATGCCATTAAAAGGCGCAGCGTGTTAAGGAGTTGCAGACGGGTGCTGTGCGAGCACCTTCAGGTGCTCAGAAGCATCTTGTTGCCTTCCAACCCAGCGCACTGTGCAGCCCTACAGGAGGCATTATTCCCCCATCTTTCTTGCTCTTTCCATCTCAATGGCATGACACTGCTTCTTGAAATGATGCCTTATGTTGCTGGGCAGAAGCCAGTTGCAGCACTGAAATCAGAATGAAGGGATACAGGCACTATTTTTCATGGAACAATTCACAGGGTGGTACAACAGATTCACTAGTGTGCGGAATTCTGAGAGTTGAAGTCCACACATCTGGAAGATGCCTAGGCTGGAAAAGACAGCCTAGGCTATCTACCCAACCATCTATCTTCTCTCAAAAGCTAATACAAATTGATCTTTGGTGCAGCCAACTAAAGATGGATATAGATGTGCAAATGCCTGTTCAACTCAGAAGAACTTGTTCATTTTGCTTTAAAATCTCTTGAAGCATTGTTGACAAGATAAAATGCCCTAAGTAGGGGGTACAGCCCAAGCAGCATTGAGATATATTAGCAAGATGAGACTATTCAGATTCCACCTCTGCTCTGGACTGGTCATGTTTGCCTTAGGCAAGCTGCTTCCTCTCCACCCCCTTCTGCAGTACAAGAAAGACAATACGTACTGACTTACAGGTTGTTTAGGCAACTGAAAGGAATCATGTTTAATATTACAAAGCTTTATCAATTCTAATGTTTGACAAGCTTTGGTAATTATATACACACTGAACAGACAAACCTTTCCTTTATGTTTACTTGCAAGTTAAGGAATGCAAGCGCTGATATACAGTAGTTTATTAGGGAAGGAGAAAGTGGTTTGGCACAGTTTATAACCAGGCTGTTCTGAATCATGGTAATTAGCGAAGAAAGCAAAGGGAATCCTCGCTGCACCATCCTCGGGGTATCTCTTACAGGTTCACCAGCAGCTTAGCAAGCTCCTTAGGGGAGAATTCAGGAATGTCATTTTGTCTTTCTTGCCCTGAAGTCATTTGTGAATAGTCAAGGAGAAAGAGGCAGGAAAGTTCACATATGCGCAGAGGCAAGGAGGCAACAAGGAGGACATGGAAGAAATTACGCAGTAGAAAAACAGTGATGTAGGCAAAGTAAAGGCCAACTATAGAAGTGAGCCAAGGCAGTAGAGTTTGGCATTTGTGCAGCATCTGCACGGCAAGATTAACAGGGCAGATGGAAGATCTGCGCTCAGCACTAAGGTTACGGGAATTGGAGAACACGTTCAGTTCAGATATAAGGCAAGGGAGTCCAGGACTCTCCAGGTGGCCACGGCAGGTGGGGAAAAAGGGGCCCAGTATGGATGGAAGAAAAGGAGGCCTTTGCTAAAGTAGGCCAGCTAACATAGTGTCCTAGCAAAGGCTATGAAAGAACCTCTGGGGAAAATTAGTAGGAAAAAAAATGAGAAGTCCTTGAAGCAGGCCTTGGGCCTCTGCCATCATCGTCTCCAGCACACAAGCCCAAGGGGTCATCTAGGGACTATAGGAAAAAGACATACAGGCCCTGAAGTGACAGGGGCAGCTGGGAATGGCTTCTTGGAATATGCAGTTCTAGGGCAGAATTCCAAGGCCTCCACAGCGGGAGGGCCTTGAGCAGCAGGAGGCACAGGAGGCTGAAAAGATCCAGTGGTGGAGAGGGAAGGGATTTCTAGCTAAGGCCCTCCAACAGCAGATACAATTGCCAAAGTCTATCTTGGCCCAGATTTTCCCGAGAAGCGTTGATTCAACCTGGAAAGCCAGAGAAGGAAGCTCTTTCATGAGGACTAGTATGAGCAGCCAGAAGGACAGGGGTCAGCCAAAGAATGCATGGAAGTGGCAGTGGGTGCTAGTGCGGTAACTTGCAGACTTCCATATGATAGCACTTTTCAACTGAGAGATCTGCTGTGGTATGCCAGCAGCTTGAAAGGCAGGGGCAGTTAAATGCATTAGGGCTACTGTGGCAAGCTGTGCCTTGCTAGAAATCCAGGATTTCTGAGCGATACTCAAACATGCCAACACTGTGATTATCCCTCTTCCTTCCCTCCATCCCTGGCTCTTAGTCCTCCCTTGCCCCCAGACACTGCTGGCCTGAAAACCTAGGAGATACTAACAGTGGGAGGACAGAAGACCACTCGTTCTCAACCAGCTTCAGGACGCTGCCAGCCCTCTTCTGTATCAATCCTTACCTTATTCTTCCTGCTGAAGAGCCAGCGTTTCCCCTTGTTCTTGCCCAGCAGTCGGGGGTCCAGCCGGCCATCAAGCGTGCCCCGGGGAGTGCCCAGGCTGCTATCAGAGGAGGTGCGATTCATGGGTTGGCTGAAGTCTTCAAAATCCATGTCTCCCGGCCTTTCAAAACCTGATTTGTGCAGTTCAATTAATGCTTGAGAGTCCTAACAGAAGAAAATTATCCTTTTGAAATAAAACAGGAAAAAGCTCACACAAAAACTGTCAACCCAATTCCAACTGAGCCCACCACAGAGATTAGTAGCAAAGCCCCATATCAACTAAGAATAAGACCTAAGAGGCCCATTTTAGTAATGCAGTCCTGAGCGTGGCTTAAAATTACACTGAGATGTATCTTCTCAAGTAAAGTTCAAAGAGCAAATATAATGTTAAAGAAATCCAATATCTTTTACTTAAACAAAATAAACCTCAAGAGAAGACTTATTCCTTCCAGGTGCCTGTCCACAGTGTCAGGAATGGGGCTGTTTCTGAGCACAGCCACAGGTCAAGGGCAGAGCACAGACTTGCCTGCAAAAAAGTCCTATGTGCAAATCCAACTTCTGCAGGCAAAGCATCTTAGGTGTCTTTGCTGGAAAGGGTTAGGGTTAACAAAAGACCCTCACTCCTTCCAGCCTCTACTGTACATGGAGGAATGAGATATCTTCAGGCACCTACATTTTTTTCATCAACCACCTCTGCAGCTGCCTTCATGCCTTCCAGGCATTTGCCAATGATTGGCATGACCTGCTGTTCTATCTCCGAAAAGATGCTGTAGCCTCCCTTGAGATGCCGTGTCCGTCTTTCATCCATCTCTTGCATCTTCTAGGGAGCAAGCAGAAAAAAAGCACCAAACAATAATTGAGATGTGAGGATTACTCACCAAACCCCATCTGCTGTTGCTTTAGATATACATAAGAGACTTATATATTCTATATACGATATATATAGGAGACTTGCTTATTCGTGAAACGGTATGGTCAGTCACAAACAAGTTGACCAGAAGCTAAGCTAAACCCCAGAACATTCTCAAACACACCAGTGTAATCTTTGTGGGGCCCACAGGCATTCCTTATATTATACCAGAGGCTAGTGCTTTGCTTTGCAGCATAACAGTTTCCGAAATAACTTTTTAATAAAAGACTATGTAGCATGTATGAGCATATGTGTGAGGTGCCTCAGGACATGGGTCTCTCCCCCATCCTACTTAACATCGACACAAAACCACTGGGAGAAGTCATCTGTCAGTTCTGGATGAAGTATCATCAGTGAGATGATGCCCAGGATTGGGCAGGAGATACCGTGGATGTCTTAATTCAGTATCTTTGAGGCTATGAGGAACTGGATTGGATAAAACCTCCTTATATTAAATCCTAGCAAGACAGAGTGGCTAGAATCACCTGGATCCAAGGTAGCACCATCTTCTGTTCCTGATGGGTTGCACTTTCCCAGAAACTGGTCCAAGATCTAGAGGGTCCCTGGGCTAACAATTCCTGCAGCAGGTGGAAGTCATAGCTAGAAGCTTTGCCCAGCTTCACAGCTGGTACTCCAGATGAGGCTGTTCCTGGGCTAAGATGCTCTGCCCCATCATCTTGTACACGGGTGCTTGAAGCTGTTTTTGAAAACTACTCAGACATTATAGTTGGCATAAAATGGCCAAACCTGGTTTAACTAACACCTATTCTGCAAGAGCAGCATCAGTTTCCAAAAGGGTTTGTGCACAATTCATAGGTCATCCCTTATAAAGCTCTTTATTGCTCAGGTCCTCAGTTTCTGCAGGACTGTTTGCTCTGAGTAGAACCTATCCTGTCTGTTAAGTCCTAACTGGGAATGGCATGCTTTTGGGGTCACTTCCTCAGATGGTTTTAGAGTTGGGAATGCAGAGAGAACCTTTTCCAAGGCCATCCTGATGCTATGGAATATACTTCCCCTGGGATTAGCATGACTCATCTCCTCACTGCCACTTAGGAAACTAGTAAAAACAATGCTTTCCGTTGGGACTTTGGACAATAGGGTAGCAAAGATCGTCGCAGTTATATAAGGACTCTGATTATTATGTTTGATGTTGATTATGCCTGTGTGGATTTATTAAGCACTTTGTGTTGGTTTTATAAGTTTTTATTACTGTGAGCCACCACAGCCTCTGATGGGGGTGGCATGCAAAGAGCATTAAAATAAAAAAATAATGCTGCTAATCTTAAGCAAGCAATTAAAAATGAAATGCCTCCAATATTCTTAGTTTGCTCTAATCTTCCAGCTTTCCCAAATTCCTATCTGGACTGGGAGAATCTAGCTTTAATGCTCCGTCCTATAACAGGCTCACAACTGGATTATTACAATGCATTCCATATGGGACTATCCTCACAGACAGTCCAGAAGCTGTTGTTCTGTGAGGCTGGCTGGCGGGCTACCCATGACTTAAAAGATCAATTTAAGATATGGTGTCAGTCTACATGGTCGTCACTGACACAGTTAATAGGCCTCTCCCAATGCTACACAACCTACGCTCTATGATCAGTTGGAGAGGTTCTGCTTTGCTCCACAGAGTGGATCTGGCTTGCCATGCAGTGAAAAGGGGAAGACCTTCTTAGTAGGACACCTCCGTGATGAAACTTTTTCTGGGAGGAAAGTGTGGCTGGTTCCCCACTTTTAACTGATATCAGAAGACATACTTCTTCACTCTAGCATTTGCACAGTAAGAACTGTTCTACAGACCAGACTGTCTTTTTAGGTCAACTTTGTTCTAAGTGTTACATTCTTATTGCTTGTTATCTTGTTTTATGATAAACCCTTTAGTTGATGATTATTTTTATTGTCCATTCTTTTGTAAACCACTCTAGGAAATTCTGGGAAGAAAAGTGGTATAAAAACACACTTTAAAAAAAAACTTTTCCTATGTATTTTGTTGTGGACAGAAGCCATACTTCTACATCATCTGGCACTTTTTCAAATGCTGAGTGCCTTCCCACAACTCAGCAATTAAGAGGACTTTAGTGGTCCAAGGAGAATTTAGTGATCAAGATCATGGTTACAGTTACTGATCATCACAGGTAATTTTCTGGCAGGAGACTGAGAGGCTGGGAAAAAAAATAACTCCGTAGTCAGAACAAGGACAGAGTCATCCTAGAAGGACCTCTAGTTCTAGGGAACTGCCTCCAGGGAGGGAGCTATGAAGTATAATCCCCTGGAGTTCTCTGATGACCTAATGCAGACCTTTTTTTCCCTCTCCAAGCTTCTTGTAATCTTTGTGCTTGAACTGATCCCATGACTCCAGCTGCTATCTGATTAATTCTTAGAGCTGTTGCTATTGTTCGCCTTGCAGATTATGGTTATTTGAGAAGTGCTTGGTATGGATGACTTACAATTTTTATTTCATGATCATTTTTACTGCTTGTGTAAATGACGTCAAGAGACTACTTAATACAGAAAAAGGCATAAAACTTTAAATTAGGGGGAAAATATAAAAACTGGTTAGAGACTTACACTGAAGATCTGTGGCATCTCCCGAAAGTAAAACTGGTTCTGATTGTGATTGAACTTCTGAAGATACGAAGCATATTCATTTTTGCTCTCCTCAGCCATGTGACTACGTAGGTTGGCCTGCTGCTTTGCCTGGGAAAGGTTGGGGAAAGTGATGAGACGAAAACCATGTTTCAAGCAAAGCCACAAGTGAAGAATACAATCCAGCCTTGCATTTCCTTTATTCAAGTATTCATTTTAGGCAATCTTGTTCTTTGTCTCAGTGCTACTTATTTTGATGACCCTCAGTAGCAAATGATCATCCAGCTGGAAGCAAGAGCACTCTAGTTTCTACCAGCTAGAACTAAGGACCACTTTCTTCAGGTGCACCAAACCTTCAACTTCTAAGTGCTGAACCCCCCCCTAAAGGTTTGAGCAATGCTGGCAAAAATTCTGGGAATTGATTACTTTTTAACGTTTCTTCCAAAGAACTGGAAGTAACTTATGTACCATTTTCCAAGATGCCTTCCATCTAGAAGACTTACGTCCTATGCCTCTGGGATATAAAAGGACTGCTTTGACAATAAGTTCCTGTTCTTGATGCTTTTTTTTTTTTTTGGGTAGCCGGCATAAACTGTAGCATCATTCTTCCTCTCCAAGGAGCGGCTTTCCCCAAGATATGCCTCAGGTTTTATGACTTACTGGGGAAAGAAGCCATCGTTTGCTCAGAAACATAACACCAGCAAAACCAAGAGAAAGTTCAACAGTGGAGCTCCATTTCTGGGCTGTAGCACAAATGAGTCAGGATTTTAATCATCACTTCCATTACAGAAGTCCTCATAACTACTCCTGGGGCTGGGAATCAGTGGCACAGTCCAGATGCTGACCTTCTCCACATCTGCCTTGGTAGCATTGATGTCCTGATCCAGCTTCTCTGCATTCAGCACAGCTTTCTCCGCCTCCCTGCAGTCACGTTCAAACTTGCGTTTGCTCTGTGAAGAAAAGAACCTGGGTGTTGCCTTCTCCTGCAGCCCAACATTGTACCTTCTTTTGTTGGCTTACTGAAGTAGGCATGACTTGTATAACAAAATACCATGATTTCAGTAATAGATTTATCACTAGAACTATGAATAATGCATAGGCTCTGTTTGATTAGCCATTCTGAGCTTTCAAATAAGAACGGTAAAGAAGATGAGGGGTTCTTTTCTGATCTTCAAAAGCATGCTTAAAAAGAGATTCAGCCTGTTATATCTCACGATATCAGGAAAAGCGTATTGAAAGAGTGCTGTTAACAACTGGAGGATCTCTATCAACTATTTAAGCAGCTACCTTCAAAACCTGCCTTGCACCAATAAAAGAATACTCTCAGCTACTCACCTTTTCCTGCTAGATTCAGGTCTGTTTATAGATACTCTATTGGTGAGAATAAATAAACTGCCTTTTGGTTTTAAACAAGAAAAGCTCCCTTGAAGTTAACCAACTGAAATGTCTGGTTCAGCGCATTTATTTGTCCCATCAACTTCTGTCCATGTCTTCAAGATTAGATTTAAGGAAAAGCTTAGGCCTGCTAGGAATGAGGGATTTTATACTCACTTCTACACCAACTCAGGAAGCAAAATGTACTGTACACACTAAACAGAAATAATCTAGGAAAAAAACCAGAAAGAGCAGCAGCATGTTGTACCCTGAGTTTGGAAGTACAACTTCCTGTAGAATTTTTGTACCACCAACATATGGATGCTTAGTCTATACACCCG